TCAAAAACCCAACCAAAAATAACCAAATTCCATAATCAAAACCCAAGCAAATAACCCTTAACCCAAAATCTAAAGTTATTTACCAAACCCAATAAGATAATAAATCCTAAAAATATTAAGGTCTAATGACACCCTCAAATTCAGGAACAATTAACTAAAAAAAAACACACTTAAAAACATAAAAAATATATATTAAAAATTCAAGGGGTAGAATTGATTGATTTTTACAATGTTGGGGCCATAGTGAAATTAGTTAGAAATTTAGGGGGCAAAATGCAGTTTTTGAAATTTCCATGCAACTCAGAACCGAAGCTTTCTTCTTCATTTCATGTTCTGCAACTTTCTTGCCGGCAGCAATGACTGCCGCCGTCGGATCGCTACCAGCCGCCAAAAATTACCAAAATACACACCTCCATTTGATTTTTCACGTAGATTCCATTTCCTGAGTTAGTTTTTACAAAAAATGACCCGAAGGTAACAAAAGATAAATCTTTTATTACAATAGTTATATGGCAGGTAGGTCTTTTTATCGGATAACTACGCCCCCGAGCCCGATTCGATTCGAGCTCTTGGAATTGGAAGAACATATTTCAAAATGATATGATTCAACCTCAAACCCATTTAAATGTAGCAGATAACAGCAGGGCTCGAGAATTGATGTGTATTCGAATCATAGGAGCTAGCAATCGTCGATATGCTCATATTGGTGATGTTATTGTTGCTGTGATCAAAGAAGCAGTACCAAATATGCCCCTAAAAAGGTCAGAAGTCGTCAGTGTTTTTTACAATATAACCATGAGCTGAAATCAATAAAAAACAACAACAATACGACAAAATTAAAGCAAAACAGTCCAAAATAAAGCAAAATTATTCCAATGCTTTTAAGACTTAAAAACTCCAAAAGTTTGGATAATCAAGCATTTTCAGGCTTTTGTACTACTTGTAATCATTTATTTTAACAAAAAAAATGCACAAAATTTCACTAATTTGATTTTTTTATTTTGGCATTTTTTCAAACAGTTAGTATGCATATACAAAAATTTATTTCCTTTCCCCTTAATCTGCTTTATAACTTTTCCAACAACACAATAATAACAAGACCAGCAAACATTCCTTTTCCAATTGCAATAGTATTACTGAGAGTTGGGTTAAGGGTCAATATAGACTTTAAACTCTCTTGTTCAAATTGCTTTATTGAACACATAAATGCATCTTATTTTAGCAACTCGCAGTTTGTGTTGTTTGTATTCAATTGGTACAGCTATTGCTGCCAAATATCCTTTCTAATTAATACTTGAGTTGTTAGCATGGAAGATGTATCATACTGCTGTATAAGTTGCAAAGGATACTTTCATTCTCGTATTTTAAATTTTTATTTAAATTTAGGGTATTGATTTAGATGTTGTCAGCTAATTTTGGAAACTTTTTTTTGGCTTTCTCTGTTCTTTTTTAGATCATAGCAAAGGACTTGTTCAAGGCCCTGAAAGAGAAATGTGATAAGAGATCTACACACCTTTGTTGCACAAATGATTCTAGTTGTATCTGGTGATATCGCTTGTGATAACTTTGGAGTAAAGGACATAAGTTTGGTTGATAATGGTGAGAGCTAGATATTGTGGTTAACATGACCTAGCTACAACAACCAACTTTGAAGAAAAGCAAATGGTATCAATTATTCTTGAGCAACATAAATATAGGCTTGAAAAGTATACTGATTGAGTTATTCTTCCAAATGTTTGTCGGTAGGCGTGAAGGAGAAATACATGGTAATTGAGTTGTTATCCATTAGATGTAATGGTTTTCTTGTCTTATCTTGTACTAGGGTCACTTGGTAATTTTTTTTTTTTTTCAGTCACTTGGTAATTTACAGATTGGCTTGAATGTTTTCATGTCTTGCGAAACACATTGTTGTCGTATCAAGGTGATTTGTAAGCCTTTTGTGAATGTAGTTTAGTTTCATCAATAAAAAAAATCTGACTTGTAATTTCTAGGATTAGGGAATGCCAATACTTACTCGGAGTGTGAGTGGTGATTGTATTTTGTTTAAATTTAGATTTGTCTTGATTGGTGTTCTGGACTTTTGCTTTTGGTACGGAAAAGAACTTAACCAAGAGAAGGAAAATAACTTCCTAAATAACTTCCTATCATTCTGAAGTTATTTTCCTTTAACACAGCCTTCACTGAGAGACTGAAAATCACGGCCTCACTCCACCACTCATTGAGACTATTGAAGAACCGCTCCACCACCGAGCAGAGTTATCTTGCAAAAACCCACTCTCTCCTCCAACACTCTCAAAGTTGTCTTGCAAAAACCCAGCGAGCTGAGCAATGCAGCCTTCAACACAACTTTGAGACGATTGAAGACCAGTGATTGAAGACCCATCGGCATATCAATCCTTCTTCGCCGGCGGCATCTCCAGCTCCATCGAAGACCCACTTCCAAAGGTAGGCTACTCTTTCAATTAGGTTATTGTCTTTTTAAAAATCAGCTAAATTATCATCTCTCTGCCTAATTTTTTTTCCCTTTATTTGGTATTTGACCTAATTTTCCACCTGAAGCTTTTATGTTAAAGATACACCTCTTTGACTTGGTTTCTGGTAGTTTCATCATGGAAAATTGATTAATTTTATCATTTTAGTTCCTTAATACTATATTGATTACCTTTGAGGAAAAGGGGCTTCTATCTACTAGCATTGACAGTTTACCATAAGCTTTTGGGTTGTGAAAGGATATACTTTCAAGTTGTTGAAGCCGGGGAGCTTATTATGTTACTCTAAAATTTCTTTAGAAAATCTGCAATGCTTGTGAATGACTGCAGAAGCTTAGACAATGTTTGTGGGTACTAGCGTATGATTTACTAGTTACCTTAAAAAAACGCCAAAACATAAGGGCACAAGTGCAGGAGCTTAATTGTGTCGTTTTTGCAGGAATTCTTTACCCTTTCTTTTTTCTTTTAAACTTGTAAGCAATTAACAAGGTCAATTTGTAGATAACTTTAAAGCTTTAATTAGTGTCTGCAATGAACTCTTCCAAAAATAAGTTCAGATTTACCAATTGCGAGCATATTATCTCTGAAAAGGCTTATCAGGACTCGTAGATAACTAAAGTTTTTCTTCCTCACAACCGACAAACAGAAAACAACCTTTGATTTGATCAACTGACTTACGGAAGCCATCCATAAAATTTTTAACGTACAAAACAAATGCAACACCAGGGGCTCTTGAATGTTAGCCTATATAGATAGCTACAGAAGCAACCTCCCTGCGCAATATGCTAAAGCTGGTATAGCACTCCAGCGGGCAATACTATTACTACAATTCAAAGATCCTTGAAAAATTTCAAATGGTCTTCAAATGTCTCCGCGTGCCTGATTTTGGATACTGAGCCATCATCGTCAACCTGAAAACAACATTAATTGCAATCTCAGAATGAGTTCCTACATACATTATATAAATAATAGACCAAAGTAGTAACAATATGAAACTTTAGTTCTGATTAGATGTACAAGGATACAATGTATTGGTCCATGCAATTTAATGAAAATGGTAAGCACATAATACAATTGGCAAATGGTGTGACTCCACAAGAGATCCGTAATAGTCGAAGATACTACCCCTGGTTTGCTGGAAGTTCAGTTCTTTGTATAAAAATTAATTAACTCAAATAATAGAAACTATTTTATAATTAATTTATATCACAAAATAGGATTATGTAGGGGTTATAGATGGGATGCATGTTGTTGCAAGTGTACCCCTTGGAATTCAAGGAAGATTTCGAGGTCGAAAGGGTTATCCAACTCAAAATGTGTTAGCTGGAGGGGGTTGCTTTTATGTTTTCAGCCAGCATATTGTACAGATTTTAGTGGATTCTAGTCTTCATGAACAGCTATTTACATGTTATGTTATTATTTGAGGCTATATATGCATGCATTTACATGCTCATAAATTCTCCAATTAATTACTGGATCATGAGATACCACTAGTTGACATCTTTACTCGCTGGGCAACTACTATTTTTGGGACCATTTATCATTTGGAGATGTGATTTTCGTTTATTGCTTTGGCATGTATTTGCCTCTGTATGTACTGAATTGTTCCAGATTCTTGATCCAACTGATGCGACAACATTTAAAGCAGGGATTTGAGTCACCCTAGGCTTGATTAGGGTGATTTTATGTACCAATGGTTCTCATTCTATACCATGAATAAGGATCCTCTGCATTTAGGTTCTTCTCCCCTTAATGAATTTTTTTAAAAGGAAGATAAAAAGTCAATTCATTAGTATCATTAATAATTCCATTTAAGAATTCATGGTGTAATATGAATAAATATTTTATAAAAATGATAATATGATTATAATGGATAGAAACTAAAAATAACTTGTAATAAAATAAATGTTTTGAGAATAAAAAAACATTTGCAACATATCAATAAACATATCAGAAAATATTTTCTCTGACAAACGAAACACCAGAAAATGATGAAAAAAGGAATTTGGGAAATGTTTTCACTAAATAACCAAACACTGGAAAAGTACGGGGAAGGAAGTAATTTTCCAAGAAAACGACTTCTATGGAAAATATAGGAAAATATTTTCAGTCCAACCAAACGGACCCTAACATGAAATCTATTCGTACACATGATTAATAAAGGATGAAAATTTTATTTTGTCAAATGTGAAGAATGAAAAAAATTTATTTTTGTGAAATGTGAAGGACGAAAAAATTCATTTTATAAAATGTCAGAGACTACGAATCGAATTATGCAAAATATGATTTGATAATTTTATCCCAAAAAAATAATCACGTACTAAATACATAGTAAATTCCTTTCAAAAATTGGTCAAAAACTTGGATATGGATCAAATTGATTAATGTAAATTTATAAAAAAACGTAAAATTACACTTTTAAAATGAAGGACAAAAAAAAAAAATTTTTCAAAATATGAAAAACATTTTAAACAATTTTTCCTTTTCCTTTTAATTGAGTTGTAGCGTGCATTGGACAATGAAGTTCTATGCAATGATGATATTGTTTCTTACATGATGTTTGTGGGCGCGGAGACAATTCACAGGTAGATACAATGTTGATCCTAACATAATCATGTGAGACAGACGGGGATTCTGATGAAATGGTTCTTTAACACTGCCTTTTCTTTTTCTTTTTTTGGTGAAAATTGAATTATGATTGAGCTGGTACTCTTTAAACCCAACACTGTCCGAGTCTTGAAAATGGAGTATGGAGCTGTTCAAATCAAGGTTAGAATCTGTCTATGATGTCTCATCTCTAATGATAAGAATAGGTAATGGCTTTTGGAATGAAGAGGACGAGTCAACTTCTTGCTCCTGTTTAGATCATCTCCAGCTCCATCCAGTTGGCCGCATCCAAGCATTGCAAGTCGACTGGAATTTATCCTGACATTTACTACTCATCATCAGATGAACTATCTGCATCTGGTCGCAACCCAAAGTCATCTACAGCAGCTGTGTCCTGCATCGGCAAGAAAGGCAGAATTTCGACAAGCAAATGAGATGGGATGTTGCGTTACAGAATGGGTATAACACTTCAGAAAAAGGAATGGTTTCGAGAGATTCTCACTGGCATCTTATCCCAGTCCTTCAACTTAGAGTTTGTTAACATGTAATTATCACGCAATGGCGCCCATGCAGGAGCATCAACAGAACCAGTGCCAGCAGATGCACCAATCTACACATAATATAACAAATTAATTGACTACCTTATTAAGAATTTAAAAGGGCAAAAAAATTGATGAATTCCAAAGTATGTCATGCACAAAGAAAAAAAAAGGTAGAAACAGAGAGCAATTTAGTTCAAACACCACAACTAGGAACAAACATGTAGAGAGATTGACCTTTTCTATGCTCCCGGTCTTTTGGGAAGGGGTCTGGCCCAAGCCTGAGAAAAAAGCCTCTTTCCTCCGCTTCTTAATTACTGCAGGTTTAAGATAACACCACAAATATCCATATCACTTGATGTTTATAAAAAAATGACATGACAATTTGTATGAAGTTGCTCAAGAGTGAAAGCACTTAAGGTTGGTGCACAGATTAAAAAGAAAGACAAATTAAACCTAATCAAACTGATTACAACCTCAGGGAAAATAGATGCAATTATGTACTTTACCAGCCAAGAAACTCCCGACAGCCAAGAAAGACAAATTAAAACTATTCAAACTGATTATAACCTCAGCTCCCAAAGGGATACTCAATAGATGCAACTATGTACTTTACCAGCCAAATTCATGCATGCTTAGAAGGCCATAAGCAGTGAGATGTACATTATGATTACTATTAAGTGCACAAATGAGATGGAGATCACCACCTCCCAGCTGAAATGAAATTATCATTTCCTAACTTTCATGCTAAAACAATTCCTAATAAAGGTTGAACTTGAGTCCACCATTTCATAATCACAGCATTAAGGACATGTATTAGCTTAAATTTGAGTTGAAATAGCATGTCAATGTACTTTTGCTGCTCAGGGTGAATTAGGAATAAATCCCCTTAACTAGACAGTCAAAAACCAACTTGTTTCTTTCTAAAACTGATTGAAAAATGACTAATCAGAAGACCACACTCGTCAGTTGCAATACAACTACTTGAAGTGGCTCTGCCTAATATTACAGAGGAGGCAGTGTGAGAGCAAGTTTCAGCAGAGTGAACGTTTGTCATGTTGAAGGTCGATAAAGATACTCTTTCTCTCTCTCTCTCTCTCACACACACACACACAGACACACACACACACAGAGTTCTCTGGTTATCTGCCTGTTCCATGCACTACAAGCTAGATAAAAAGATACCAACATCACATTTAAACTACAAAGTATCTTCGTATGACATCTCAAGTTCCAACTATTGAAATTTGCTGCTTTCCAATTTAGGCATTATGATCTACCACTAATACTAATTCAGAAGAGTTGTATTATAAGGCAAGTAGAAGTGGGCAAGTACAAAGTCTTCATGATCACACACAGGTTTAGGAAAACCAAGAGAAAACCTTGAATTGGGCTGTTCTTTGCAAAGCATCAAGTTCTTAGAAAAAACAAGTTATAGTATTTAAAACTGATTAGCATTAACTACATCTGAAGGCTCTAAGAAATTAAATAGGTAAGTTATATCTCTAGATAAGAACTTCAAATAATCTGTATCTTCTAATCCTAATGCCTAACATCCTCATGTAATTCAATTCCTTCTGGTCCAGATCTCAGTACACTTCCATCCACTCCCTTGGCTTGGATGACACTTGTCCACGCAATTCGAGTTTTTCTTAGACTTTCTACCATCAAAAGAATCTCCGCCATAAAAAATATTTCCACCAAAGAAGGTGTTGTCAAAGAAGATGTAATTTATGATGAAGAATAAAATTTAACTGATTTACGTAGCTCAACAAGAAAACTTTTAAGCCTGACCACTAAATGGAATTTTAATCTAAATAGCTTATTATTTCTTTTTATTTTAAATTACTAAAGTCCTAAAGCATCTGACTAATTATCGTTTTTCTCCAGATGCTTTCTACTTATCTAAAACTCTCTCATCTGTAATCCAATCTATAGAACACCTGTATCAGTTCTCAATGATTTGAAGCCTCATCCTCTTGAGGATTCCCAGTTACAACAGCCGGCTAAGAATCTGCATATACGTCTTAAGTCTTAACTATGGACTGGAATCTGATCAAAACCAAATCTTTCATCCTGATGCCAAAATCCTAATTTCATGTAATTCCTTACCTTTTTACTGCAACCTGTTGTTATCCAACTTATCTAATGGAATTTAACCAGCATCATCTTAATAATGGTTTCTTATATTTGCAGACATCAATGGTCAATATGTAAACCAGGGTATCACTGATCACCAAAAATGAAAAAAAGAACAGACAACCAGTTATAGCCTAAATTAACTACTTAGAAAAGCATCAAATGCTGATATTTGTCACCTATAGCTTTCTCCAGTAAAAGTCTCCATTTCTTTTTGTTTGATTGGAGATAAGTTTGACACACAATCTCACACTCTTATATTTAGTTCTTGGCATAGCATAAAACTTTAACACAAACTACCCTTTGCTACTTCTGTCAATATCCAACCCAAGATAAAGTTCCATAGCAAAACATTCTGTAATAACTACTACATTGTGAAATGAAAGAGCAACGTTCATTATTTCATAGACAAAAGAAGGTTAACTATCAATTAACCTTGTTAATTGTGGTTTTCTATCTTAAACAAAATGCCTTTATACTATGATGACGCTTTGCACAAAATCCATCCACATCCCAAGATGAAACTCAAAAAAACTCATGCAGAAAGAAATTCATGAAGTAACACGTCATCAGACAAGTTCATGACTACTGCTTAACAATTCAGGGATCATGGCATGATCCATAGCAATTCACCATTAAAATTCAGAGGTGAAAACATTCTAAAATTAAACCAGCTTGAAATTGCACCCCATACAACTTAAGGATAAATAACAGAGTAAGGATTGAAGGTGTGAATTAGTAATGAAGCACCATAATCCACCTGGGAAGGAAGTTTTGCTCCCTAATCTTGTTAGCACTCTTCTAACCACACATTGAAAGAGACAGAGGAATTCATCTTAAAGAGAGCAACTGACTAACACGAACCTGTGTACAAAATTAATTATAATTGATTACCTCAGGTTGTCCACAGTGATACAAGCAGCAGTAACACTAGAAAATCTCATACCCAGCACATATATGTTCTAGTGACTGCAAATGAGGATGTTATCTTAATTTCTTGGTTGAGGATCCCTGTTATAATGCATTTTTGGAAGCAAGAGAAAGCTTTTGATGGACATTCTGAACCAAGTAACTAAAGCCTCAAAGTCTGAATACAAATTCTTTTAAAGTAAAAGAGAAGGTATTGCTGAATATCAAGTCAAAGAAAAAATTTGGCTTCAAAATTAGATTGTTGTCAGAACAGAAGCCAAGGGAAAAGATAATAGGAATGAATACCACGTACTTGAAGCAAGAACCTTGTTGTTAAAAAATGATATATCAAAGTCTGAAACGTTGAATTTGATGCTTTTCACCTACCTTTTTCATCTTTCGACCTTGAGGGATTCAGTCCTCTCTGCGAGTGTTGTGCCTTATTGACCTGTATGCCATATAAATAATCATTTTAAGTACCACAAAGTTCATCTACATAAACCACAAAAACTAGAATGAAAAAAAAACTACCAGTCATATTTAGTTGGAAACAAAATCTGAAAACAATAGGTTTGGAGAAGCCACTTACAGCATTAAATAACTTGACCACTGGAACGCACAGCAAGACACGTGAAACATAGAAGCTTCGTCAGTTAAAAAATAGACCTTCATTTTCCTTGCAGAACAATTATTCCATTATCAATAAAGTCAGGAATACCTCCTCTGGTAGCAACTCCAATGAGATGCTTTTCATGTGAATCCAAATAATTAGCAGGCTTCACATGCCCCTTCTCTCCAACCTTTTGATGCAAAGAAAACCAAATCACGTGAGAACTAATTATAAAGTAAAAGTCAAAATTTGCACTAATTTGACCATTAAGGCTAAACTTCACTCATGTGAAACTCAAAGAAATCACATATTCTAAATTCCGCTACTTGAACCTAAACATGAAAATAACAAAATAACAAAAACAAATTCATCAATATACCAGGTGTTTTTCCTTCTTTGCCTCACCCTTAACCTTTCTCTCTGCTTCTTCTTCAGCTAGCTTCTTGGCAACAAGCTTTTTATGTGCTGATAACACAGGACCCTACCAAAAAGAAGAAGCACCTCTAATCAAATTCAATCACAGTTACAAAAATAATATCCAAACATGATCAATAGCAGAAGTCAAGAATTTGTTAAGCATACTCACCAGTACATCATGATCGGTTGAAGCAGTTTTCTTGGTAATCTTCTTGAATGCCAACCTAAAAGCCTTACAACCCTCCGAAAATCTCATAACTCCTGGCTGAATTTCACCATCTTCATCCTCCGAAACCTCAATTTTCTCTTCACCATTCTCTTCTCCTTCTTCTTCACTATCCGAAAATTTCGACTTGAACCCACCTTTTACCTCATTTTTCACTACTCCTGATTGCTCTTCTCCCCCTTTCAAATTCCGGTCTTCTTCTTCCACCACATCATCATCTGAATTATAGCTTCTAGCCTTTTTCTGAAGAAACTTTTTCATCTTTTTATCCATTTTCTTAAACCTCCCATCTTCTGAACCAGGCCCTAAAGTTCTCACCTTTTTCTTGTTTTTGGATTTTTTCGAACTATTTTTCTTCCATTCCTTCCTCCTTTTTACACCCTTCTGCTGCATTTCTTCCATCATAGATTGCCAAATATAACAATCTTCGTTCTCCTAAGCATATAAAGAAAAAAAGCAAAAAAATTTCTCACAAACAACACAGAGGGAATCAAGAATAAATTAAAGAAAATTATCTCAGTAAAATTACCGGCGACTCCATCAAAATTTTGAATTTAGGCCACAATTAAGAACTGCCTGGGTTAAAAATTATGCTGGGGCAGAATTTGGGACATGAATTTAATCTTACCTACCGTCCGCAGGGCTGCTACTGCCGAGTGGATAGCGGCGGATGGGACTGTAATCCCGGTAGCTTTCAGTCTGCTAAAAGCTATTGAAAAGCGAGAGCCGAGAAACTGTGGCCTGAGAGGAAACACAAGTCACGTGAAGATCAAGCCAAGAAAAAAACAAGGCAAAAGGACAAAAAAAAACCCCAATTCCCACAAGCATAATTCCGAAAGCATCATTTACTAAATACTGCACGGAACTTCACATAGGTGAATTTTTTTTTTCCTTTCCCATCTTAGTTATCTCACATAATCAAATCCAAATTACTCAGCGAGAAAATAAATGAACTTGCACCTTTATTTTTCCCAAAAAATAAGAACGCTAAAATCGAAATAAGTACATCCCAAAAAAAGGGCCAACAAAATCGATAAATTTCCCACCATAAGCAATGGTAAGGCTTTGTTCAGGAAGGCATGCAATTGCAGAAAATCCTCAACAGCTAAAGGCAAATCCTAGACAAACCAACTTTTGTCATCAATTTTAGCAAACAAATTCAACATTTCTCCCTCCAATTCTATTATACCCACAACAAGATTTTAAATTTCTGCCTAAAAAACATACCCCAGAAAGACAAAAGCAAAAGAAATTGATGAAGATGAGCCGCAAATATGCATAAAAAGTAAGTAAATCGGGATATAGAAAGGCAACTCACGAGAAATCAGGCAACGGAGTTTGAGAAGAGAGGTTTAAGGTTTAGGCAATGTTTTAAAACCCGGACCGTCAATTGAACCGCTGAAGTGAAAGGATCGAGGTTCAACCGGTCAGACCGGTTCAACCCCGGTTCAATAAATAAATAAATAATTAATTAATTAATTAATTATATTATATATATATATATAGACACACACACACACCTATGCACAGAATAAGATATAAATGCTAAACCATAATTAACATAAGAGCAATATCCAACAATTAACACACACAATTAACATAGTTATCCAACTTACATGAAAAAAATTGTCTAAATATTAGAATTAACAAAAAACGATACAAGTCTAGAAATTGGGTGTTAAGTATCTTCACGATAACTGGGTTTTGCACAGAGATTTAAAGACATCAAATATACTTTTAAATAATTATGGTGAGTTGAAGATCTGTGACTTTGGATTAGCACGTCAATATGGAAGCCCTTTGAAACCATATACTCACTTGGTGGTTACTTTGTGGTACAGGTGAGCGTAGTTTTAAGCACTATTGTCTTTTTTAGTTGAGATAATTAAAATCTTTTATCTGGTTCAGCGAAGCAGCCACTATTCAATGGGAAAACAGAAGTTGATCAACTTGACAAGGTTAACATTTTAACAACTTTCATCTGTCATGTTACTGTAGAATTTTGTATGGATTTCAAGCTAATTTTCTTCTCTGTGGCCTTAAAGATCATTGTCGTTTTGTTTTGTAGATATTCAAAATTCATAGTTAGGAAAGTTGGACAAACTCTTAGCGTTGAATCTCACAAATGTTCTTTTAAAGACGAAAAATCATAGTAGAAAAAGCAAATTATTCGTGCAGTACTTGTATGCAAACAGGTGTATATTTAGCCTATTTTCAGTAGCAGAGAAGTTTCCATGCTTTTAAACTTTAAACAACCAGATCATAATCGAACACTTTACCTTGTTGATTGATAAGAAAACATACTCTAACAATATCATATGCTTGCAATCTTTACTATGAAGATAAGTAAATTGGGTAACAGTAAAATGGAGCATGAGAACTCACTAATATAAAATCCTCTCACAATTCTACCAGTTATTTACACCCCATCTATACGAGTAACTGTATCCCACTAGCAGAAACAATGGATAAAATCATGTCATATGCCTTTTTTTTTTGGTTGCCTGCCATGGTATCCAGGGCTTTGCCCTGACTAATCCGTTGGTCGACCCGGGTCGCACACCTGGCTGTGGTGGGTGAGTCTCCCAACAAGGTAGCTGCCTTACACAAGAAACCACACCAATTTATTTGAATATTGGAGAAAACGAAGCATCAAACTACACCCCCTTTTTAACAAAATGAAATTGCAAAATCAAGCAACAGAAGTCAACAACTTTTGCATTCAAATTAAATAGTATATTCAGGCACAACTGGCAACAAAAAGATGAAGAAGAACTCAAGGCAGTTTCAACTAGTAAATAATAGTACCTCTGGACCACCGAAAACAGTGCATGACGAAAATTGGTAGAATCATGTTTCGCATGCAAATTTCATTACCGAATATCAGTACCGTAAACCAATTCATAACGAAAAAAGAAGATAGAAGCGCAGCAGGCGTACGAAGTAAAATACCTGAGACTGAGTTGGTTTCGAGAAAAGCTGATGAAGAGGGTGTGAACGAGATGGGATTGTCGGGACGTCGCTTCAAGAAACAAATGAACAGAAAAGCAGGGCTGCGGATGCAGAGAAAAGGGGATTAGGCACAGTGATCCGAGGATTAGGCTGCAAAAATTACAGCAGTATATATACAGAGGGCCGAGGGGACGGGAGGGATCATAACCAAAACCCAGTAATCAACAACGAAAGGAAAAAAAAAGGGAAAAAAAGATAAACGAACCTGGTATAAGCTTCAATTCCAGAGTTTTTTTTGGCTTAGAATCGGTGCGGTGAGTAGAAAAACTTCATGCTTCGGTGGTTCCTTTTTGCTGATTGCTATGGATCAAGATTGGAGTTTGGAGTTTGGAGAAGGGATTAGGGTTAAGCCATTAAGGGGAGAAGGAAATAGACTAGAGACGGCAGGCAACTGGGCAAGGCAATTTCGGCAATTGCAGAGAGAGGAAGCAGAAAGACCGACGCAAACTGCGAAGACTGAAGAGTGAATTGAAGACTAGGTTTAGATAATTTCGGTCAAAATTGAAAATTCAGTCAATTTTGACTCAAAAATTAAAAAACCACGGTTCACGGTTCGAATGTTCAGGGCTTTAGTGTTTTAGGCAAAGTTTTAAAATCCGGACCGTCAATTGAACCGGTGAGGTGAAAGGGTCGAGGTTTAACCGGTCGGATCGGTTCAACCTCGATTCAATGAATTTTTTTTAAAATAATTTATATAAATATATATATGCACAAAATAAGACATGCAATGGACTAATTTAAAACTTTATATGATGAAAAGTTCACTATTTTTGAATAATTTGGATTTTCAAAAATAAATTATTTAAATTATAAGTTAAAACAAATAAATTTCATCTCAATTTCAATTATATCTACCAAAAAAATCTTAAATCCAACCCAAAAATATCACAATATTTTGAAATTATACAAATTCACGTCTATGAGAATTTGATATTGTGAACTTAAATTTTAATTTACGTCTTTGAGATTTAAAGATTGTAATTTAAAAAAGAAAGTTTGGAGTTCGAAAGAAGTTAAGAGAATTGAAAATAGAAATGCAAACTTGATAAGAAACAAAAAATGAGATAAAAGTGAGTGGTTGTGGCATTAAATAATTTGGGTTAAAGAAAAATAATTCTTTTTTAACTTTTTCCAATTTAATGGGCAAAAACAAAATTAAAAGATAGAAGAAAACATCAATAAATTAGAACTAATGAGGTTTGATTAAAAATGGAGTGACAAAAGAAAAGATGAGGGAGAAAAGAAAGAGTTGAAGATTAAAAAGAAAGAGTCATGAGAGGATGAGATTTTGTAAGAAAAATGGAAAAATGAAATATAGATGTTTGTTTTATATAAATAAGTTATCAAAAAAAGCAAATAAGATGTGATGGTGCAATGGTTACTACATTGGTCTTCTATTACAAAGGTTTTGAGTTCAAATCTTGATAGAAGCATTTTGCAAAAAGTTAAAAAAAAAAAAAAAAAAAACTCAAAAACCGGTTCAACACGGTTCACCGGTTTTTCCGATTTTTACCGGGTTTGACCGGTTCTCTAGCAAAGTCAACCAGAGCATAGAATCGGACCGATGCCATGGCCGGTTCGCGGTTCAACCGGTCGAACCGGCCGATCCGGTCCGGTTTTCAAAACATTGGTTTTAGGAGTAAAAATATGAACAAAAAAGGTCAATGGTAAAGTGAACATTGAGTTAATTCTTGAGGTTCAGGTGCAATTGCCAATTTGGTCCCCCGAGTTGTCATATTCTAACTTCTAACGTTTGCCTGTTTCATTAGTTTTCATCTACACCTCTAGGGATAATTATATGTCATTTGAGAAATTCGTATTCAAGGTTAAACGTGTTGTATAACAGTGTAATGCAGGAGTTTCTATAGAATGACTCTTTTAACCTTTATTGTGAATTTACTATATTAACCTTAAATTTAATTTAGAAGTTTGATAGCTATTTTAAATCAAGGTTGGCTTTTTAGGAATTTCATGATAACTTATCACTTATATTACTTCCCGGTGTACCACCCAATTAATCCCTCCCCCATTAAATTAATTTGTCATCTGCCATTACAACAACAACTACTTCGAATTCTTTTAGTTTTTTCTTTTTTCTTTTTGAGAAGATTTTAAGAGTTCTTCCCTAACCACTAGACCAATGCAGTGGTTAATTCTTTTTAAGTTATTGAATTTGTATTAATTGCTATCCTTAATATATCTTACTAACCAAGTTACCCCTTCTCCCTTAAAATTCCATTCGTTTCCAATTTCTTTCCATATAATGCTTTCAGTTTTGCAATCAAGACACATCGACAAATAAAAAAAAATTAGTCATTACCATTTTTCATCTTTTCTACCTTCATTTTTTTCTTTAATCCAAAAGTTTTGATTGCATTATATGGTTTTACCAATCTGTAGAACTAGACCTAAAAATAGTCAATAGGGATCAGATTCAAACATTAAGTTGTAGTTTTCATCCCCATTATATGGTTTTATTGATTCTCCCTGTTTCCGTACTTGCTTACTTCTCTAGAAACGCCCTCCAGCAATGGAAGTTCACGAGAATTCATGCACATGGATGCCAAGATGCTTATGGTTCTACTGAACTACAGAGATTGAATTAAGTGGTAATGATGCACTCAGGATGCAAAGTGATTTTTTTTTTTTTAAAGATGCCTATTTCTTTTTTTGTTTATTCTTTGTATGATGTCGACCTGTACTGAATCAGTGTATTGGAATTTGCAATATATAGATGAATTTTGCAAAAGTTGCACCTGTTTGTTTCTTTAATATCATTCGTTCTTTTTACCCTTTTCCAAATATCACCTTAGAAAATTATGTGTAAGAAACAACAATAATTACATTAATGAATGTCCCTATTTTATGTAATCTCCTAAAAGTTGCTTCCGTGATATCTTCTTTTTCCAATGCACATGCCCAAAATTTTCTCTGTTGTTATGTGATAAAAATTTTTTTTAGTAAAATGGAGTATAAAAATGTAATTATTTTCATCAAAACATAGTTGAAAAAAATCATGAAAGAAAAAAGATAAGTTGGACTGCACAAAGTAGTTTTGCCTAAAAATATACTTTGATTGGTAAAGATGTTGGTTTTAGAAAAGGTAAATGGAAAAAAAAAAAGGCTTCACTACCCAGCAGCTATTTGAATATATTGAGTGTGTTTGGATATGAGATCATTTGGAAAAAAAAGTATTTCAAATAGTACTGTAACATTTTTTATGATGTGATATATATAAGAATTAAAAAAAGTTGTTGAAAATTGTATTTATGATGTAAACAGGATAATATTTACGAATTTTTTCTCCAAATTAGACCATCCAAACGGATTAATTGTCTTCTTGTGCCAACAACGAACTTAAAAATAATGAAAAGATGCCATACCTTTTCACCATAGGGACCAAGGTTCAAGCTATCTTCGCAAGAAGATTTCATTTTCCCTCCATATGTTAATGTACAAAAGAATTAATGACTCTTTTGTTTATTATTTGTGAATCGTGACGAACTTGAACCCTTAACTTCAATTAAGAGACTTCAACTTCTCATATAATAAATTTTCCCTAAGTAATTTGGCATCTTATAAATTGTGACAATGCAAAATGTATATATTGCATGTCAAGATTGATAACAGAAAAGATGAGCCTTTTGATACCTTTAATTGAATTTGCCTAATCTCAAATTTCTAGAAGCTGGCCGCTGGATTATCTTTTCGAAAATTTGCAACTAATAAAGATCTTAATAGTAGCAATATCATTCATCTACATTAATAATAACTCGACAACTGCTTGAGGTACTTATTCGGCAGTATTATTCTACAAATGAGGCATAATTTGATATAATGAGCAAAATAACAATTCAAATAACGAAAAACGAAATATCAAGAAGTCAAATAACTAACAACAAAATAATACTAAGAAGTTGAAAAACTAAAACAATAGTACACAACCTCCATCCGTTGTGGAACCTATACATTTTCATATATCCATTTATTTTTATCAAAATTTGAAAAAATCTTTCAGGTTGAAAAGGTCGAATATGCACTAGATGCTAAGAGTTATCGAAAAACATTCAAAGAAGAGAAAGAGATAAATAACATTAGAGATCTTAAACAAAAAAAAAAAAAACTATATTAATCGAGGTCTCACATTTTTTCTTAAATTTTCTACATTCAGTAATTCTTAGATTTCTTAGATAATATAGGAGAATGTTCATTCCTGAAACAAAAAAAATCCATAACATTGGCTAAACAATATGCCTATGCTCACAAACAATCATGAGATAGAGCACACGAGGCAAGCCAAGCTCCAAAGCCAATTCCCAGCTGGTTCTAGTTAAAGGGATCTTCCCCTAACCTGCCACCGTATCCTTTGCAGAAGCCAAGACAGCAGAAACTATGTCCACAGTCCGCAGCCGAGATATGTCTCAGCCGAAACACAGCCAAATTCCTTGTTCTGCAATAGCTAGCGTACCACAACATTGAAACCCAATCTCATGGCCTGGTCAACAAATGAGTTTGAGTGGCAGTCCAGGTGCAAATGCAACCCCTTCTTGTATAATGAGGAGAAAAAAAGTTTACTCGCTAAGGTTGAGATTTTATTAATTAGAGATTATAGGTTTAAATTTTCCTTTCCCTTCCTCACTTCTTAAATCTCACATTGTCCCTAAAAATTTTTTTATGGAAAGGGAAAAAAATGCAGAAAGAAATATTGAGAGGATGTCGGACTTTAGAAATATGGTCCCCTTGTTGCAATATGGCAAGAGAAGAAGGAATAAAAAAAAATTAAAGATTTTTGTATCTTACCGTCACATTGTTCTTAAAGGTTAGATATTCCTAAAATTTTATATAGATGGAGTTTGTGATATTTCAGCACTGTTAAAATATTATAGAATCTTGAAGGCTATCTGGTTGCAAAAGTGAGGGGTGTTATATTACTTCGTACTTTCCTTTAAGATTTTTTTTTTCAAACTTAAGAATTAGTGCAATCAATTTGTTATATGTATTAATGCAAGTTG